GGAAAAAAGCGGCAGCCATGTTAATGCAAATACCGCGGGGGATATTTAAATCCCCCGCGGATTTGCCTATTCCAAAGTGCTACATTTGCATCCCTTTTCCGGAAGGGATGCCAGTGTAGACACAGCCCTAGACTTTAAGGTCAGAAGGGACCATTTTGATCATCTAGTCTGACCCCCTGCACAATGCAGGCCACAAAATCTCACCCACCCCCTCCTAGAATAATCCTCTCATCTATATCTCAGATATTGAAGCCTTCAAATACTTTGAAGACCCCAAGATGCAGAGAATCCTCCAGCTGTGATCTGTACCCCATGCTACAGAGGAAGGCGAAAAACCTCCAGGGCCTTTGCCAATATACCCTGGAGGAAAATTCCTTCCCGACCCCAAATATGGCGATCAGCTAAACCCTGAGCATGTGGGCAAGACTCACCAGCCAGACACCCAGAAAGTTCTCTATAGTAACTCCTAAATTTGTAGCTAAATTTGACCTAAACTCCTAGTGCAGACCAAGCCTTAGCCATGGGATTGGCCAACATGAAAAGCGCATTAAAGTTTGTGGTGTAATGCTTTGGTATTTATGAGTTTTTGGTGTCTGCTTTTCTCAAATAAGTAGGCACACACACCAGTAGCCACATCAGTGCACCCAAGAGTGAATTTGGCAATTTTGCCGATAAAAGGAACATTGTATCCAACCATAGGTTTGTCAGAGATACCAGTGCTGTTATTTTCATGTGATTAGCAACTAAAATATTATTTGTAACTAGAAGACTTATCTGGATGGCCCAGGTCCTTCAGGAGGCTGGTAGTGCATGACTCTCAAAACTGGTCATTCATAAAACTTTCTTTCAAAGATTCTCTGATTTGCACTATGCTCTCCATAAGTCTTGCACACAGTGGGGACATGAACCTTCGATTTTACAAAGTTGGGTGGTAAGAAATCAACCTTAATTAATTCAACCTTTTCTCATAGTGTAGACATGGCCTAAAGAAAGTGAGGTCAGGGAAGATCATGCTGTGGTAGTCGATCTTCCGGCATTCGATTTAGCGGGTCTAGTAGAGACCCGCTAAATTGAATGCTGAATGTGCCCCCATCAGTGCAAATACTTCTCACTGTCAGTACGAGTAAGGGAAGTTGACAGGAGTGTTTCTCTGTGGGAACAGTGCCAAAGTTTGGCTTAAGGTTCATCGAATCCATCTATGTTATTGACATAACTGGGATTGTGTATCTTAAGCTGACCTTCCGTCCTAGTATAGACGTGTCCTGAGTCTGTCTTAATAGCTAAGGTTGTGATTTGTTTTCTGTTACAAGACTGGTTTTGAGGGCTCTTCTGCATGGCTTGGGACTCGGGTGGAGATTGTGGGCTAGATTTTCAGTTGATGTATATCCATTGAAGTCAGTGGCTCTAGATTCCGGCTAACAATGTGACCCACTAAATTCCGCAAGTGTCTCTGGGTTTTCTGAGTATATAAGCACTACAATCTCCCCAAACCTGATGAGTTTCCCTGAAGTCTCTCTCAGAATCTAATGAGGCTTTATAAGAGAGCTGGGTGTAATATACAGGACTGAAGAGAGAACCAGAGCTGGAGAGCTGGTAAAGCTGTAACTTTGCCACAGATAGGTCACTTAAACAGTTACATCTTCCAGATCATTAATAACCATACTGAGTTCCAAGTCATGCATTGGATCTCTGTGAGTGGCTGCTCTCTTGCAATAGTTGCTCAGTATTTATATAGTTAGTTTTGTAAGTTTATAACAACCCTATGAAAATCCAGCACTATAATTTAATCTAGAATTGATGTTTGGCTTTGCCCATGATGGTGCCACATGTGTTGTAGTGTAATTTAAAAGGGGAGCAGGGCTTTTCTGTGCTACTTGTTGATATCGTAACACAGGAGAGTCAGCAGTTCCTTCCGAGGGACAGGACATTGGTTGGCCACTGAGTAGACCGGAGCTCTGTTACTGTTTTGGAAGCAGCGCGTGGTAGTAATGAGACCCTTGAGGCAATCCCTGTGTGATAGCTGATGCTGGAGCCATCTCTGTCTCCCTTGAATCTGCATTAATGTCTGTTGAGGGAAAAGTTGTGCTGCAGTTTTGAGTAGGTGGGTGGGCAGCCCGGAGACCACGGAAGTATGGATCACCACAGCACTGGGCAGCAAGCAGGATAACACCCCAGTAACCACTGTAAATTCATTGGTAGTCATTTCCTTGAAAGAATTCAAGCCCCATGGTGGTTAGTCATGCATGGGAGACCCTGGCGCTCCCTACTTCCAGTGCACCCAGCTGCAGCCCCTATTCTGGCTCCTCCAAAACCTCCAGCTGAGGTTCCGGATACTCTTCTCCCTGCATCTCCTCCGTTTAGGCGCTCCTTGTCCATGGCTGCACAGTCATGGCACCTCCTCCTCAGCCATCTCCTGGTGTTGGTCGCCATGGCTACATGTCAGCCTAGGAAGGGGGCAGGGAGTAGTTCAGGGCCACTCAATACTTGGTCCACAGACCACATACAGCCCTTTGTTTGTGGCCTGTGGTGCGGTTTGGGATACGCAGGGTTCAACATGTGGCCCGCAGGTGGGATCCTTTGAATATGGCCTCCACTGGGAACACGCTCCACAACGGCGAGGCGTCTCCCAGGTGGGGTGAGCATTGAAAGACACAAGCGGACAGGCTGGCTGGAACAGACGGGCACAGGGTGTCAGCGTGTCTAGCCCCCAGGGAGGAGGTGCTGGGAGCACGGGGGCATTGTGGGAAGTGCTGTCTGTTTAGCCTTGTAGGCAGAGCCTGAGAGGTGCTGACTGGCTCACATTGGCCACGTTGGGGTCTGGTGCCGCATTCAAGGCTTAATCTTTGTATTCCTGCCCGTCTGTGTGAAAGAAGCTATTTGCATATTTATGCAACCACACTTAAGTTGCAGCCCTCGGCATGTGCTGTGAGCATTGTGGCCCCTGGGGCTTCCAAAGTTGTGTAGCCCTGGAGTAACTCTTTGGGACCATGTAAACTTCCGTTCTCTCATTTGTTTACATCTCTGGGCAAATACCTTTTTCAGCATCCAGACTGCAGAGCAGCAGACAGTGTCTGGGATTCTCCACTCACTGTCTCTATCCAGTATCAGTTTGTTCAGAACTATTCAGTCTAACATGTGCCCGAGGTGTTTTTGTTGTTGTCCCATAGAACCTGTTGTTTCTTGAGCTCTGTTGGCCATCCCACGTTTGAGGGGTTATACCTTTTGTCCTCTGTGGGCCCACATCTTCCCTCCTGGACTTCAAATAGGCAAACATTTTTCATCAGTGCTGAAGATCCTTTACAATTAAAATCGAAATTAAAATGCAGTGAAAGGTAAACAAATGTTTCATGGAAAACAAATTTATGCTCATAATCCCGATAAATCCCTCTGAGACAGACATTCCAGGCAGACCGTTTGCCTCATCATTTGTTGAGCATTGTTGCTTTCCTTGAAACATCAGATTCCAAATGTGGTTAATTATCTCGTGGCAATGCCCATTCCAGGGATGAGCATTCGTAATCACGTGAGTTGCATAACCAGGAATCGACATGGGAATACGTAGATGCACACTGTTCTGTACCAAGGAACTAAAGCATCAGGGAGAGTGAGCCGATACAGCACTGCACACTGTGTCAGATCTGCATTTGGCACAGTGCTTCTGTGCTGTGAGAGGGACGGTCCTTGTGCTTAGCATGCATGCATTTTCAGAGCTTGACATGATCACTGGGCTTGGAATCAATTCTAAGAATGGAAGTTTGTTTAATGAAATCATAAACACCAAATATGAGAAAAAACCCTACTAGTTCTGAGTCTGACTCCCTGCTCAGTGCAGGATTGTTCCTTAGAACTCCAGGGAGCTCAGACTGGGCGGGGAGGCTTTCACCGCTTCCCTTGGGAGGCCAAGCCACTGTCTCACTAAATTCACTGGCAGGAAGTTTATCCTTGAAGCTCCCTCTAAATCTTCCTTTTCTTAATTTCACCCATTAACTCCTTTGTCCCCTCTCATTCCCCTAAAGAGTTGTGCTTTCTCTTTATAGTGCAAACATTTCCAGTTCTTTGAGACACTCAATCTATTCCCCAAGGGCCAAGAGTTTTGTACGTGTAACTCATTCCTTCCTTCAGCACCTGAATCGCATTGTTGCTCTCTACCAATTCACTCAAGTTTTCCACTGTGTTCTAGTACTGACGTGCCTACAATCGGATGCCGTAGTCTAGGTTCATCATTTCTCAGGTCTTCAGGAGAAGCAATTCAGAGTTGCAATTTTTTTCTTCTATTTTGCAATCCAACATTTGCTTTACTTTCCCCTAAATATTTTCATCAAAGATAATCCAGCCCACCCAGTCCATGATTATCTTGGCCATGTGATTGTTTGGGTTTTTGAAAAATACTAGTGTACTTAATATATTACTTGTACACACCGGAAGAAGTGTGGACCGAAGGGAGAGGTTTCTCAAAGGCTGTGACTTACAGACCATAGGCCCCCTCAATATAAGGACAACCAAAAAGCAGCAATTAAATTTCCTCAGTGGAAGGGACTCAAAAGGACACACTGTGAAGGATGATCTCATTGTGTTAGCTTCATATGCTCAACTAAAGTCTGTTGGCCTTGGCCAGAAGCTGAGCCTTTGATCTTCTGACTGTGACTGTTGCTTTTAATGGACTAGAAATACTTATTTGCAACCAAGAAACTTATGGGTACATTTGAACTTCTTGAATTTGGCAGCCTTGGGAAATAGGCCATGCCAGATGATGGAATTGTCTGGACTGTGGGTGCTTGCCATAATGAAGGGTAAACAAAGTCTGTCAGTAAGGCTTTTGTATGTACAACCCAGTAAGGAGTACTGTACAAGTATAACGTCAAAAGATAAATCTGTAATGCATTGTCTGGGAGAGAGGGACGTTGTGTGAGGGGGATGGGGTACAGTGCCTGGGAGGTTGAGGGAGGGGTGCTTACCTGGCACCCAGCTCCTGGGGGCACACGTGGCTCTATGTGCCCCACTGCTCCCAGGAAGTGCAACCCCCCTCCTTCGCTGCTCCCATTGTCTGCAAATGGCGGTGGGGGAAAAGCCTCCAGATAAGTGCTTTGCTGCACTGCCATTCCCCTAGCAGGGGAGGGAGAGGAAGCAGCAGTGTACATGCCTGGATCCAGCCTGCCACGCTCAGGGCTCCCACCTTCCTGCAGCAGGGAGCCGGCGTTGTCATTCCAGCCATGCAGAGGCCCGTACCATGTGTGTTCCCGGACGACAGAGCCCTGGATTAAGGAGGTTCAAGTGTATATACACACACTGTACACTCTGTAATGTCTCCTTTTATAGGGATAATTTTAGAGCTCATACAGCTGAGTAGAGCTAACTAGCGTGTAGGTGGACACTGCAAGCTTCTGTTTCAGCGCTCAGCCAGCACTCCATCCCTACTGATCCGGGGCTCTGTCAGCCACCTTCCTCCGTGATCCACAGTATCTGTCCTCTGTCATTCGTAGCACAATACAACCAAGACCTGTCCTGCAATCCCCTCCCCCCCC